ATTAAAAAAATCTAGAAGATCGAATAATCAAATCCATGATAGGGAAAATGCTATAACACCGAAAATTCAAACTTTTACCTGATTCAGACAGGCTCGTAGTTCATATCATTTACATTGTACAGCAATCGATCAAGATGAGAGTAAAAATACGTATAGCTTTGGATCGACAAGACGCGTTAAAATTAGTACCTTGAAACTGAAGACGAACTGATCTTGGAGAAAAAGAGTGGCCTGAAGGGAGCTTTGGCGTGTAATTTAAGAAGACTAATAACGAGTCGGTCACTTTTAAGGTCTTTTTTTTTCGGTGCAAACTTTTAAGGTCTTTTTCCAAACAGGAAGCTGCAAATTCAGTTCTAAGTTGACGAAAAACGCATACAAATATCCATTTCCATACAAAACGCGTATACAATTCGTTTAGAAAATTATAAAATGAATGATTCTCTTGTTTTCATCAGCTAACACGTATTTATTTCAAAAATCTTAATACAAACAGATTATCTATTAATATTGTAGGGCAAAATTATATATATGTATGATTAACTGAATATTACCAATTAATCTCAAGTCTATTAACAGTTAAGAAAAATATAATTCAAATCTCTTTATATATAATTCTCGAATGTAATGAGTTAAGTGGAATTTTGACACCTATTATCTCGAAAATGCGAGCCTGCCACTTAAGCTCAACACATTCAGAAATTATATATAGAGAGATTATTGTTTGTATTGACTGTATGTTACAATTAGTAAGTGAATTTCCAATTCTATAACAATTAGTGATAAGTAATTATGATAAATTTCGAGAGAGACTTACAAGGTAAAAGGGATTCTTAAATTTTTAAATCAATGATCACTAAATTTCGAAAGTTTGGTTTGAGCTTGTTCATTTGTGTTTGTGAAAGTTGAATTTCACTCAATTCACTTAATCAATCATAATGGAACTGTTTTTTAAATACTCATGTTGTTGTATGTAATTAACAACTTAAAATTATAAACAGTCGGGTGCGTTTAAACAGAAATAAAAGGAAGATTATATTTTATTGATGATATCACAAGAGTACAGGAAGTCGGTTTTTTTGTTCTTGATCGAGATCATTTTAAGTCCGTGTACAGTGTGCGAAAGAAAGAAGAAAAAGATCCCCGTACAACTATAAATTCTGCTATTTATAGTATGGTTGCTTTTGTCTTTTTGTCCGAGGTAGATAAGATCGCATTTAATGTTGAACAGCTTCAATAAAACGGTGTGTAGTGGAATGAGGAAACATCAATAATTGCTTTTTGTTTTGATGGTCCAATCGAATATGTTCAGCACCTTTTACTTGAAAATTCGATCTTCTCGGATGTCGGATGAATGGATAGTTTTTAAAGGACATAACCTCAATGTCGGTGAAGTCGGTTGTCGGCTTCTGGCAAGTTGTCGGTTCTACTTTCAGTCAACTGGAAGTCGGTAATTAACGTATTTAACTGGCACCGACTTGAGCTAAGTTCAGCTATTTCTGAGGGACTATTAATCGAAAGAGGTGATTAGTCTTTAGCTCTAATCTCATGAAACCAAATCGATCATCAACAACTCATTCACAAATATATTTGTTGGACAGTTTCAATCGGAACTTATAAGATAAAAAATAAAAATAAAACAGAAAAATGAATCATCACAAATAAGTTGGGTTCAATTAAGTAAACAAACGAACAAAGCTCAAGTTTTTTAGAAGTGAATCTGCATTCACGAGTAGCTCTATATTTAGCCTGATTTTTCGAGCATTGAAAAAACAATTGTCAACTGAATCACCTGTTTAATCTACCGTTAAGGTTAAAAAAAAAAAAAAAAACTGAATGACCTGTTTGGCTGTAACTGAAAGTTATCAAAACTTGTTAACGAAGAGGCAAGAGCCCTATTGGCTATCAACTATAATGCAGCACATCCAAACGGGGCATGTAAACACTCAGGATCCCCCAATAAGCTAAAACCTTCACCTGAAAACTCTTCCACACGCCGAAGTTCCATTCGTCCTCTCGAACTCGAGAAGGGTTTTGCAGAGCTACTATCTCAAGTAATCTCTCTCCCTATCTCCCTCCCATGGCTGAATCTGATGGTTATTCAATTACAATCTCCTGCTTTTTTTTTCCTTCTTACAACTTTTCGCACTGCGTGTTTGTAAGTTGTGAGCTAACTACACCGATGGTGGTTTTTGGGTACAGTGCAGGGCGCGGCCTTGGAATTGGATATGATAGGGATGGCGTGGGTCAGCGCATTGTTGATCGGGGCGGGTTGTTTTGCAATCGGGTTGTTATTCGGGTCGCGGCGTTCGTCTCGTAGCTCTGCTCTTTTCCCGACCAGTGCTGAAATCGACGGCGACAGTAAGAAGAAGAATGCTCGGAGCAAACAGCCTCTCGAGGTCGAAAAACTTGCTGATATTATCGAGGATTTTAAGATGGTATTGTTTCAGCTTCTGTTTTTAATAAATTACTGTTGAGGGGAAAATGAAAGCTAGAAATGCAATTGGAATTTTGTGCCTATAGCCTATTTGAGCATTTTGCTGGGTGTGTGCAATTCGGTGCAGGTTTTGGTTGTGAGGAATGACCTAAAAATGGGGAAAGGGAAGATTGCTGCCCAATGCAGGTAAGGTTCTGTATGATTGCATTTACAATGGTTAGGAACTGAATGTGATCATGTGGTTAGGAACTGAATGTGATCATGTGGTGGAGATGGAGTTACATTCGAAGATTAATCTGGTCTTTTAATTGTATTTAATTTTTCCTTTAAATAAGTTATGCGTTCTTCCATTAGTCCCACTGTATGCATTGGATGAGAAAAGAAACAGTAACTAATTATGTTCAATTATAAGTAGGAATTTTCGAAATCAGAGGCTTTCCGTAATCAAAGTGAATGAAATCTGTATTTGCCTCTGTATATATATGTGTGAGTACTAAGTATTGATTGTTCATTGGACAGATATTTGTATGATTGTTCCTGTGGAAGTTTATGAACAAAGTTTGTTTCATGTTTTTGCATGCCGGTTTATGTCCTCACATGGAAGGCAGCCTCTTAATCAATTTACTTTTGTTGTTGTAGCCACGCCACATTGGGGTTGTACAAGAAAATCCTTAACCGTGCACCAAAGTCTTTAAATAGGTATTTTCTAGATTTTATTGCAAATGCTTCATTACACCAGTCAATATCATTATTTGTATGTTTACAAAATAGACACAACTTGCAGGTGGGAGATGTGTGGGCAGGTTAAGGTTGTCGTGAAAATTGAAAGTGAAGATGACATGCTTGTTTTACAGGTCAGACTAGCATCAAAAGTTGTCTTCCTCCTTTGTTCTGTAAAGTGTTTGATTTTGCTTATAGTATCATGCCTATGATATACGAAAATAAAAGAAAAAAGTAATAATGCTATGGGTAAGAGTACATGCTTGATGTATAGATAACATGGAGGTTAGAAATTGTCAGAACTACGCTTTAAGAAATTTTGTACCCTCAAGCATCAACTTGCGCATTCTGAAGTACAACTCTTCTCCATTTGATTAGTGGACATCATCCCAACCAGAAAGAAACTGGAATCTACAGATATAATTATTTCAATCTGATCATTACCAGCTATTTCGTGCTTTAATTTCAGGGTTCTATTACAGAAAAACCCTCACGAGTGTTAATCATTTTGTAGTTTATCAGAGCTGCTTTGCCTAAATTTCTGACCCCACGAGTATCTCGATATGTTGATATCTTTCTTAGCTGCAATAGTTCGAAGATCTATCACCGTTACAAAAATCTTTGTTTACTTTAACTTAGATGAATAATACAGGCCAGAATGAATATAAATAACTTGCTATTCGCATTTGAACACTGTCCTTTTTGTTTTTGTACCAATACCTTTTTTTTCACGGTAAACTAAATCATGGCCCCAATTTGACGTTAGTTTGTTAACAAAGCATACGTACATCTAGTTTCAATGGTAGCAGAGCAGTGATCTTCACTTAAGCAAGTCCAAAGCATCATGGACTTGGTCCATGGCATAACTATTGTGTTTCTACTCATGCAGGATAGGGCTAAATCGATAAATTTACCAACACATATTACTGTCGATGCTGGGAGAACACAGATTGCTCCAAGTGAGTTCATATTTTTCTCCGGCTTGTTTTAATGTAGTTAGCTCGCTTCTTGTGATACTTCAATGCTTTAGCTGAAGAGGGAAATAAAATCAAACGTGTATTGCCATTTTTTATGTCTCCGAACTTATTCTTTTCGAGGCAAATTTGTGAAAAAGGGAAATCTTAAAGTCTGGAATTTCCGTCATCAACTAACGCATTTCTATCCTCTTTTCCAGATTCAAGGACAGTAATGGCAGTTTTAGGTAAGTTTTCTTTTTTTTGTGTGCATATAACTATCTGACAAATATTAAATTTATACATAATTAAATTATTTTTCGAGAAAACTTACTTTAATTCTCCTTTTATATTTGTACAGGGCCAGCCGACCTAGTCGATGATGTAACGGGTGGATTGAAGCTTTTATAATTGCATCGTCATTGGTCTCATAGAAGCTTAAGATTTATCAACGTTTACACAAGTAGCTACTTTCTGGCATGGTTTTGCAGCTTAAGATTTTATCAATGTCTACACAAGTAGCTACTAGCTACAGACTAAACAGAAATGTAGCTCTACTTTCTGGCATGGTTTGCAGATGTTGATGATGACGACAACAGTGAAAATAACTGGAGCACCCATTTTCGTGATAGATTGTGCTATCCCTTTTCTTTTTATTTTTTCATGCAGTTGTGTAATTTATTTTCCACTCAAAAGTCAAAATTTTAGTTATATCTATTTTCACCTAATGACGATCCCAATAAAAAAAATATAAAAATAGTATCCGACCTGCCGGATTCGAACCAGCGACCTAAGGATACGCTGCAAACATATGTAGCCAACTACAGTCCTCCGCTCTACCAACTGAGCTAAGGTCGGTCTGTTAATACTTTTGGCTATTTGATTCTATGTCTTTTAATACTTTTGGCTACTTGATTCTATTCATACGCACTTTCGTCATGTATTACATGTGTTTAAATTCTTCTTTCTTTACCTTGTTATACTCATTACTCCAATTAAGTATTTCTTAAGTTGATCATGGAAGAGTATAACTAGAATTTAAAATGAAAATTAAGTATTTTTAAATAATACTCTTCAAATAATTATTTTTTCGATTTAAATTAATTGCTAAAATATTACTATTTAACTCGGGATAAACCACGTAGAAAAATCAAAAGTAAAAGTAGAAATATGGATTGAGGATAAATTATGTTAGAGCATCTCCATGTTGCTTTTGACATTATAAAAATTCATCCACATCATCAACTTTTGAAAGTGTGTTACTAATTTATCTCCAATGCATCTTGTCATAAGCTCTCTCATGATGAGGTGGATAACATTTAATGTTGACAATGTTGAACACACTTTCTAATATCTAACACCATGTTAAACATGATGACTAATCAATTCACTTATATTTGATTTAATTTTTTATTGTTCTTGTATTAATGATTATTTTAATTGGTTCACTTATACAAATAACTTCTTATCAAATTGATGCATTGGAGATACTAGTTTGATTCAAATTTCTACTCTTTTAACATTATTCCTACATTAATATTACAATCATTGAGTGACATATGTTAAAAATCTAACATTGGAGATGCTTTTACAAAGGGATATAAATTATAACACACCGACATGTATATTAGAATTAAATAAAAAAAAAAAAGAATATATTCCAGAAATAAATATGAAAATGAAATCACAAAACAAAAAGATAAATAATTTTCTAAAATAAATTAATAGAGGCAACAAATATGAAAATGGATAACGGGCGAGGGACACATTCGATCCTACCTGTGCACACAGTCGTGGTTTTTAACCTCATACCTCACATATACGTGAGTGCAATTCGACATGAAAAAATAAAACACAAACAATTCAAAAGGACTGACAGGGGATAGGGAATTAGGGATACAAATAAAAGTAATAACAAAATAAAATAAAAATAAGAAACATATTCAAATCACTACCAAGCATCCCGAATAAAATCCAGATCAAACCCAATCACAAAACCTTAGGAAAAACAAAAGAGACTAACCAAACTAGTCTTTCTTGCGCACAACATATAAGAAGGCATATACATAAGTTCATTATTCAATCTCCCCTAACACAACTCAGAGAATCAATCCCTTTGGAGACGAGGGCTTCTTCTTATCACCCGTGCTTTCCTTTGGAGGAGACCCAGATGTTGTCTGAATCTCGGCATAACCTTCTGACGCATGTTTTCCAGGCTGGCCTTCAGCCACTTTCTCCATCGTCTTCTGGCTAACCTCACCAGCAGTCTTAGTAACCCTGCTGAAAGCCCCAGTAACCCATGAAGCTCCTGTCAAAACATATCGGTTTTTCATAATGGCCGAGCCAGCTGTGCTAACAGTCTGCTCGGCTGCTGCAAAGGCCGATTTCGTCTTTTCAGAGACTTGGAACTTCTGGTCGACTTCCTTGACCTTGTCGTTGACAATGGCAGCCCCAGTGGTGATTTTCTCACTAAGGCCAATTTTCTGGTCGAGTGAGGCAACTTTGGCTGTGGCTGTGGATATGACCTGATGCTTCTCGTCAAAGGCCTTGGCCTTGTTCACGGCGTCTTTTCCAAGAACGAAGCCCTTGGCTAGCATGCTGCTCACGACATCCTCGGCTTTTTGGACAGCAGACGAGGTTGTGCCGCCTGCATTCTTGTCTTCAGAGGCCTGAATTTTTTTTTATTAACAAAAAAGAGAATGTTAAAACACTAGTTATGCGAAGAAGCTTTTATGAGAATGCTTATGGTTATGTTTGGTAAGCATATAAGCTAGTTTATAGATTATTTGATTAGCTTATAAGCTTCTTATATTCAAACAAGCTTGGTTTG